ATGCTCTGAGGGGCCCGGACACCAGGCAGCAAGTGCAGAGGACTGCTCCTACAGACTTTGAGCATTCCGAAACGAAGCCAAAACCGGCAATACTCACGGGAAGCCCCAAAGGTTTCGGGCAACCCGGAAGGTCGGAACATGTCGAGAGATGTGGGGGTTTCCGGAAGCAGGGCGGTGACATGCCCAGTGGTGTCACCGTGCCGTGTTTCCCGCCACATACGCCGTATCAGCATGTCAATGCCTTGTTTCAACTAGCTTCTAAACTGCTTGGCGGCCTCGTTAGACTGGTTGAGTGCTTCATTGGTTGCCTCACGACATTCTCAAGCGTAAGGGTGGACAGTGTTCTATGCCAATTGCTGGTACTTATATGAGTATATGGTATATGCCATATTATGATGCTTTCTGGGTCGTGCTTCCCGACATCAGCTATCCTCAATGTGGTATTTCCCATGTTGCCCCAAGTGCTCCGGTGATAAAGCATGTGGACTGCCGCCTTGTAGGATCAAGGATATGGCGCTCAGGACTAGTGAATTTGCATTCAGTTTGCATTGCCGGTGCCTAGCCCAAAACATGTTTGTGCCCGTCCGTGTGTGTGTGTGTGTGCGTGTGCGTGGGTGTGTGTGTGTGTGTGTGTGCGTGCGTGGGTGTGTGTGTGTGTGCGCGCATGTGTGTGTGTGTGTGTCTGGCGCTCCTTATGACAGCGCCAGACAGTTCCACTGTTGGAGCTTGCCTTGCGGAAAGTCGGTGAGACGGTGTGCTTGTTCGACTACAGCCAAGGATTCTGGACGAGATTATTGTATGCAATAGCAAGACATTCTACGTACGTAAGTACAGTACACAGATGTGAGCCGGAGCTACTTGACCATGATTCCGGAATGCTTATTGATCAGGTGCTACAGAGGACGTGGAAGCCGCCTTTGAAACATACATGGTGTAGGCTTGCAGTAGTCTATCCATCCAGACGAAGCTCTGCAGCCGCTTCTTAGCTCAGGATGGACGACGCCAGGCTTAACATGAATTTCAGACAAAGAGGGCATATTGTCGAATTGGAAGAAGGAATCGTTCAGGAAGCGGCACTCTACCTGCTCGAGTCGTAGAACTGATCTTCTAGTCGCCTCTGATTTCAGTCCCCACGCTGTGGGGTTTTGTCAATGCGACCTTCGGTGAACGAAGCTTTCAGCACAAGTATCGGCATTTCAGCTGTTGCCGCTGTTGCCTGGCATCTCAATCGTCCTCTTCCCATGTCGGTACGCAGCCCGCAGGACACCAATAGAGCCGCTCTAATCGGAATCCAAGACAGCACAGCGCCGCAGACAAGGGAAAAGCAAAGGTCATGAGCAGTCCGGAGCGATTGTGTTTTACGGGGCTTCGTGGCCGTAACATGGCCCGCCAGCCGCCCCCGCCGCCCAGGCCTCAGAGGCCGGAAGTTTTGCCTTCTTTGCTCTGGTGTCCTCACTTCCCTTTACATCAGCGACAGCGATGATGAGCGCGATGCCTGTACGTCCTATCCTGCAACGGCCCTGCCTGGAGCAGAAAGGCCTGTATACTCCTTGATGCTTTTGGGACGTCCCTACACCCATACATGCAGACCGACAGAGAAAGGCGGAAGGATAGACGGACAGCGGACGGTCAGACCTACCTACGTACTTATCCGTGCATGTGCGCACAGAGATGCGCAGCTGCTTACGGTAAAGCTAGGTCCTGCCTGAGACGACATAGAGCTGAATATCCCAAACGCCCTTAGTTGCATTTTCCTTACAATTTGGTGAGCCCTTTCTCTTGCACACTTGCTCAGAGGACCCGTGGCGCTGCTGGGAAGGCTTTCTGCGGAGCAAGGGCTTAGGGTGTGTGGATTTTGCTGATCTTATTGAAGCCCAGCTTGCTCGCAAACCGAGACGAACATCAAGTCAGGTGTTTCACTCTCTCTGTTTCTTTTCTACAGCTTTAAAGAGAGGACGAGGGAAGTCCAGTAGTCAGCCGAAAGTGTACATGCCCAGGCAGGCCTGTCCTTGTCCCCCACCAGCTGCCCCAGTATCCACGTTGCTGCATTCTGCAAGCAGCTGGCAGCCGAATGGCTAGACTCTAGACCCTGCGCCCAACCCGAAGAGCACCAAGCTCATGAGACCTCGCCAGGAGAGTTAATCAGCAATTGACCAAGAGATGCATTGCCTCACCCCAGAAGGCTGCTGATCTCGAGCATTTCCTGCAGAAGTCGGACACACTGCGCAAAGCGGGCAACTACAAAGAAGCCATCCAGGCACTGCACTGTTTGTTGACATGTCGCTGGGAGTTGGTCAGAATTGCCGTTGCAGTGATTTGAGCTGTTGTCTGGCCTTCAGCACCACGAAAACATCGCTCTGCTTCTGGTAGAAGCAGCGCACCTTGCAGGCTTGCACCTTCCAGCTAGGGCCTACCTCCGGTTTGGTTGTAGCATAGCACATACACATGTGTGCATGTATGCATGCATGCATTTTTGCGAGTGAATGCATGCATGCACGCATGCATTCATGCAGCATGAGGGAGGCGGGCAGGTGGTTAGGCGTATGCATACAGTTAATACCAAGGTGTGTACATATATATATATATATATATATATATATATATGTGTAGATGTTCGTATTGATGTGTGCCAGATAAAGAGCACGGCATGATGCACGTGTGTAGATGGCGTATCGACAGATAAACACAGATAGATAGATGGACCGACTGATTGATGGGCAGATGGTTTGATGTTTAGATAGATATAATTAAATAGTACTATAGCCTTCGTAATTTTTTATTGGACACTGCAGCCACAACTTTCTCTGTAGTCCGTCTTGTGCATGTCCATGCCCTCCTGCAGGTCCTGGATCGGGCCCTTCTCCTGGATCCGCAATGCACACAGGCCTGGCCTCGCATGCTTCTAAAGAGCAGGTTGGATGCGTGTTTTCGAAGCCACCCACATATATACACGAATTTGTACTTTGGTGGTGTCGACGAGAAGTGTTTGGCAAGATGTCTTTGACGTCATCATCGAACAAGTCATGTCGCGCACCAGCCCCTGCACGAATGAGTACAGGGTCTAGCAGCCGTTAGTTGTCGCCGTTAGCAGTTCATGCTCGTGTCCTCGTTTGTTCCAAAGCCGTTAATGAACAGTAATGCTACTGTTTTTGAGAAGCATGGGTGGCAAGTGAGGGTGTTTCGTAGTGGGAAGCTGCAGATGCACGTACTGTCCAAAGGCTTTGTCTGCGCGGGGTGCAGCTCGCCGGGCATTGCTACAGCGAGAAGAGGCATTGGGTTTCGTGGCCGTTGTGCTGGCATCACGAGCAAGGTTGAACTTCCGAGTTTCCGAACCTTGAACCTCCTCACTATCTCCAGCTCAGTGAACACGTTGAGATGATGTTTCTTTTCACGCGGTTAGACTCATCGGAAGCCTTCCGGCAGCCTCATGTACATTGTCAATGTCGGAGCTTGAGATGTCACTTTGCCGGCTGTGGGCTGAGACTTCAGTATCATACATACACATGTCGTGTCTGAATGCATGCACCACGGAGATGCTGTTGAATGACATATTCCGGAAGCCACACAGCATGGCTTGCCAAGATTGCTATGGCTGCTATGCTGCGAAGCACAAGCGTGGATGGTCTTATTGCTACCTCCACAAGCATGCTGTGTACAGTGTGTTGGTATATGAAGATGGACATACAGTTATGTGTACATGTATACAATAGGAGGCGTATTTATTTTGGTAATTTATTTTTTTTTTGCATTTTTTTTTTGGGCTTGTGTGCGCGCTTGGCTTCTTGGCTTCTGGCTTCTTGGATTCCCTGGCTTCTTGGCTTTTGGCTTCTCAGCTTCCCTGGCTTCTTGGCTTCTGGCTTCTTGGCTTTTCGGCTTCTTGGCTTTTTCACCTCGCAACTTCTTATACTGTCTAGCTTCGAGCATACTGCCTCCTTATGTCGTACGGGTTTTTGTTGTCTTCTTCTTGGATTCCTTGGCTTCTTGGCTTTCGGCTTCTCGGTTTCCTTGGCTTCTTGGCTTCTGGCTTCTTGGCTAATATAATATAATATAATATAAAATATTATATGATATAATATAATATAATATAATATAGTTTAATATAATATAATATTATGTTATATTATACTATATTATATTATATTATATTATATTATATTATATTATAGAATATAATATAATACTATATAATATAATATAATATTATATAATATAATATAAAATAATATAAATATAATATAAATATAATATAAATATAATATAATATAATATAATTTAATATAATATATATATAATATAAAATATTATATTATATTATATTATAATATATTATAATATATTATATTAAATTATATTATATTATATTATATTATATTATATTATATTATATAATATTATATTAAATTAAATCAAATTATATTATATTATATCATGTATATATTATATTATATTAAATTTAGGGTTTCGGCTTAGGGTGCTGACAGGGGCCACAAGACTTAACACGACAGGGGCAGCAATAGCAACATGAGAAGCAAACGTAGGAGCAATCCATGGTATCAGAACTGAGCACGCAGCACCATACACAGGTTCGATTTCAAAGCCCTGAGATTAAAACCCAATCCCAACGCCCCAAACCCTCAGCTGTAAATCTGCAGGCTCAGAAAGGAACCCCCACGATCTTCGGTGCCCTGCAAGGCAATGCAACACGGCCAAGCAAACCACAAAAAAAAAAAATCCAAAAAGCAAAAAAAAATACCAAACTAATTCCAGACCCTATACAATATACACACACATATACATGTATATGGTCACGCGCTCCGAGGGCCCCCCCCCTCCCCCCCCAAAGGTCAAGGGTCCGGATATAGGGTGTGAGTCAGGGTGGGACCCCCCTCCCCTGTACTGTGGGGTGTGGGGTCCCTCTTCCCCCTGTGGGGTGGTTGTCGGGTTTTGGGGTTTTGGGTTTAGCTTAAGCTTTTGAGTGTTGGGTTTACGGTTACAAGGTATAACGCTTCGAGTCGACAAGGGCTTAAGGAGCATTTGCGGTGTATGTTCTGCTCTGGGCTTAGAGCCTGCAGCTAGGTGGGGTTTAGGGTTGGGTGTAGGGTTTGAAGTACAAGTTAAGGTTACTCAAAACAGGGGCACACGGTGCGTTATAGGGTTTACGGCTTGCTTGCGAATGGCTTGCGTGTGAGCTCTGGCCGCCAGCACCATCCCACCATCCAGTGGCAGCTCCAATGGCCCCGACCCCTTTCCGCACACACATCCACACATCAGCCCCCCCCCCCCCACCCCTAGCAGACTATACCATTGGGGGGGGCAGGGCTGGGAACGCCAGACGCCTGACCATATATGTATATACACAAACACCTGACAGCCGTCACTTTCGCGATTATCATTCGCTGCTGCTATGATAATAACGATGATCGTGGCTGCAGTTGTCGTTTCTGTGTTTTGTGTTATAGTTGGGTTGTTATTTCTGGTCAGTTTCAATGATTTTTATTCTTGCCTAAAATAACCGGGATGATACCGATACTGCTATTTAAGAACTATTTATATGAACACCGTCCTGCACCAGTGCATACATGTAACACGTACTGTATTTACGTATGTGTGTACATATGTATGTATTTATGTATGTATGCATCCAATTATCTATCTGTCTAAATACTTCTGTGTCCATCTATTGTCTATTTATCTATCTGCCTGTCTGTGCGTCTGTCTGTGTCTGTCTGTGTGTCCGTGTCTGTGTCTTTTTCTGTGTCTGTGATTGTCTGTGTCTGTCTGTCTGCCTGTTTATATCTCCCACCGTCTATCTATCCATCTATCTCTCTATCCGCATGCATTCCAGCATGCACCAGTTTTTTGGCAATGCGCATTACGCGGCAGGCGTTAGCCGACTACTCTGCAGCAATCGCTCTCGAGCCAAAGCTTCCTGGCCCAAGGGTTTCGTGGAGTTTACAGCTTTGGTTTGGAGCATTCAGTTTGGGTTCCAACATGCCCTGGTACCCTCAGACTTTAGGGAAGGATCCGAAAAGCTGTTCCAGGAACTGGAGTCTGAGGCTCTGTTGGTTCCTTTTGCTTGGACACCGATTGGAGCGCGAACCAGCTTGACAGTTGTAGGAAGGACGCTGTAGGTCGGCAAAGCCCACTGGCGAGGGGTGCATTAAGACGCTGGAGGTCTGCACTCCACCTCGCCAGACTTGAGTCTAAGTGCGCAGTTCAATCGTGCAGGCGGGCTGCCTTCATCAGCAGCCGCGGAACTGTCAAGAGCGAGCTTGGATGGTACAGTGGCCTGTCAGCAGTGGCAGGAACCGTGCGCGGTCGGGAGCAACTCGGTGTGGGTAGTGAGTTGCTTTCTACTGAAGTGAAGCTTTAGCTATCAAAGGAGATGCCATAGCCGACTTCATGAAAGCCTTGAAGCTGGAACCTGATTACAAGGCTCCTTGGCTCTCCGGAGAGTTCCTATAGATGATTTGCGTGTCATTCGCAGGAACGTTTGGCTTCAGCTGTTGTTGGATATGCGGGCTTCTTGAAAGTCGGGAGTTTCTTTTGGAGGTGTCCGTACATTGAGGATCTTACAAGGCCCCTTGGCTTTTGAAACTCCCGCTTGTTTGGATGCGGGGCGCTGGAACGTTTGCGCGGTCGAGTGTCCAGGCAGAGTCGGCAGAGCACCTTGCGACCGCTTTTTAGGGTCTCAGGATGTTTAGGATCTCTGCCTCTGCGCTGCTGGTCTCAGGTTGCCAAGTTTGGCATGGAGTTGGTGACGTTTGCCAGCATTTAGTGCAGTAAGCACATCGCCGATCTGCTGAGTTTAGCGCGCATTTACAAACATGCAGAGTCGGCAATGCTCGTCGTTGGACAAGACAGATCTGAGGAAAACGCAGCAAAAGGACGGACCCCTGCGTCCCTGCCTGAGCTTACCCGATCATGTATCGCATTTCTCGGTTCCTGGGGGCAGTGTGCGCTTGAGGCATCTCCCCCAGATGTAGCAGGTCTACCTAGTAAGTACAGCTGACCAACGCCGATCAGGAACAGCAAGAGCTGGAGCAGACGGCCACCCGAATGGCATGCCTCACATCCCGACATGAACCCCGGAACAACTAGCCCGAGCTCGCAAATCTACGACACCGCTAGAACCGAAAGCCAACAGTGTCTTCCGGTTGAAGTTTTACTTTGCCCCGTGACGAAAAGCATCGTAAAGATGGAACACATTCAGGACACTGCCACGAAGTTTTAGCAACGCTGCGTACAAGCCAGTCAAAGCTAAAAACAAGCGACCCTCGCTGGAAAGTTAACTACAACATGATGAGTCAGGACCTTTGTCGTCGCTTCTCCTTGAGTTGAAGTACAGCTGCAGAACATTGCAGAACCAATAGTGGGAGTAGGCGATGTTTGCATGAGGATTGTGTCTTCCCTGTAGCGTGGCATCACGGCCTTGAACCGGTGGTTTCCCGTGTCTGCACCTAGGAATGGTCGTTCTCACTGGCTTCAAGAACATGAGCT